TCAGAGCACCAGAACTCCTCTGAACACTTGTACTTCTCTTGGAAGAGGCCACGCTGGAGCCACATGACTTCCATGGATTTGCATGAGAGCTGCTCTCTTTCACTGGCAAACATGGAGAAAGGAAAGGCGGCATAATCTCTGTGAAAGTGGAAGAAGGTTGCAAGTGCAGGATGAAATTCTTTCCTCCCCCTCTCTAAGTAGAAATAAAAGGATGTGGCCCCATAGCTACGATGACTAAAATCACTGGTGTGCTCAGCATTGCTGCATGTGTAATCTCTGGAGAATTTCAGTTACGTGTACTATTTCACCACTGTCAGCTAAATCTGAACTCCAAAATTTAACAAATGCAAAATGTGACACTGAGGAACATTATGTGGATTTGTGATTTTCCCAGAGGACCTGGTCCAGCTGGCAATAAGTGGATTGAGATTTCATGCAGAACATGGAGACAGGCTGTCGCTCCATGACTTCTTGTGAATCGCATGCATTCTTACAATTATTCTTTAGTGTTTTTCATGTTGTGTCCACTCAAAATGACAATGAAAATGGAAACGATGGGATAATAGGATTTTTTTTAAAGAATGAGGAACATTCAATATCCAGAAAAGAAGCACAAACTATATTTCCAACAATAAGGGAAATAATGGTCAAAAATTTATGAAATACTTCTCTGAAGCAATCTTACATGGAACTGCTTACAATGTCTGCTCAGAGTTGTATATATAGAAAAATTCTTTGGCTTTAATATTAAGTGAAAAGAATCAAGGTGAAAATTGTACTTATCATATGATCACCACAAAACTTAATTATGGGAGGAAAAGTGAAAAGGAAATACCTAAATGTTAATAGCCTATGGATATCTTATTCTCATGTTTTTCTGTATTTTGTAAAGTATTTACAATGGGAAAGCAGTATTCCTATTGTAATCAAAACAAGGTTTTATTTTTAACATAGGACTTAAAACATGCTACATTTACATCATATTAAATTTAAAAAGAAAAACCTTAGTACAGTGACTTACAGCTTTGCTGTGACAGATATTCTGATGTGATCTATTTGGTGCAAGGGTATTGTCATGATACTGTTTAACAGAGTCCTACAGCTAAGCCCAGACACATAAATGACACTGACATAATATTATAGCTTTGTCACTCAACACAGATATTCTCCTGCCCAAATTCTCAATGAGGTTTCTGCCATTGTCCTGTTTAATCAATAACTGGAGAAAAATCCTGGAGGCTCTGTGTTGTTTCAACAACAATCCTTGCCTTTGACCCATGTTTCTCCTCTAATACATGAAGTGAAAGCCATTTTTTAAAATACAGTAACTTTTATTTTTTGTCTGCTGAAACTCTGCAGTTGGAACCACCTTCTATTCTCATGTATATTTTTTCTTAATTAATGGTTTAGCAATAGAGCTGTTTGTCTCATGTCTCTCCACTATTGTAAGCTCTGTCAAGTTTCCCCTTTGAATCTTCCAAATAATTTGTGGCAGAAACTCCATAGTGTTTTTTGAGTTGAACTGAATTGTCTCAATATCTTCTTCTTTTTTTGTTTTTTTTTTTGATACCGGGGATTGAACTTGGGACCTTGCGCTTGTGAGGCAGGTGGCGGCACCACTGAACTAAATCCCAGGCCCTCAATATCTTTAAAAAGCTAAATGCCCAGTGTATTACCATTACTTCATCATTTACTCCCATTAGTTTTCTTGTGAGCACAATTAACTCTCACCCAAACAGAAATGACAGCAAATTCTTTTCTAACACAGTAACCATTGGTCAGGGTGGGGGGTTGTTTTTTGAAAATTAATGATTCATAGGTCTTTGGTCATGGTGTGTGGGACAGTGGGGTTCCACTAAAGATGATCAGAGGTTGAGCTGTTCCTATTCAAGGTAAACCTGATTGCTTTTGGACTTGACTTTTCCAAAGTGACTGTCTTTCTTTGGAATATTCTTTTACTGTCTCGACAGTTGGAGTTCTTATTGTTGATTTTGGAGTTTTGAAGCCACACATCACCATCTCTCCCATGCTGATATTAGCCAACTTGGATCCAACCTTTGGTGATGAAGGTTTCCTGTCCTTGATCTATATATGTCTTTTCACAGGAAATTCTGTGTGATACGTGTTCTTTTTTGCCTGGATTTTTAGCAATCCTAAAAAACCTTGTCCAAAACTGAATTATTTTAAGGTTTTCACATGTTTGAGACCCAATATAAATGTTTTAAACACAGTAACTTAAGAAGCACCATCATAAGAAGAAAGATAATGCAATAACCAATAGTGTAGCTAAGATCAAAAGTTGTAGAAGTTAATAGGAAAGAGAGCATGGTGAATGGCAAAGAGCAAATGCCAGCCACAATGCCAGTTAGCAGTGTGAATAACAGGAGTTACTCAGTACTTCTGAGTCACATATTTTGCATCTCTAAAATGGAAATTATGATTTTTTAAGGATTAAACAAATTCTACACATACATAAGCATTTGGCGCAGTTTCCAGCACAACCCTAATATGGAACTAAAACATAGCAAATTTTCAATAAATGATAGTTATCACCTTCTATGATATGTTGTCATTTCTAAAAAATAAATAGTTACTCATGTGTTCTTGACATAAGGCATCATTCTGTGTTCATTTGCTGTTTGTTTATCTACCCACCCTCTTCCTGGTGGTTCTATGGAAGAGGCGACACCAGAGCTCCAGTAGAGGGAGCACCTCAGTTTATCTCCTATTAGCGATTAAACAGTGTGGGTGGCACAATAGCATATACATTCTTTTGAAGTAGGTCTAGTATCAAACCAGTAGCTAGAAATCAAACACATCCCTACCAGGATAAGTTACTCCAGTGAGAGATTTTCCGAAGTCCAATCTCTTCGTGCCAATCATCAGCTTACTTGTTTGACATGATTAACTGTATGAAAATGACCAGTTCCTATTCTTTTGGGTCAAGATTTCTCTGCATCCTTCAGAGTGCTTTAGCTGGAACAAGCACGTATGCAGGGAGGGCTATACTGTCGCCTGTGCCTCTCAGCTTGTCTCTTCATCTTCCCAGCAACACTGGAGACCGGCCTCCATGGTTCCTTGGGTTATAGCTGAGAAAACTGTGATCAGAGGAACCCGATCACTGGCCCAGAATTGAGCTTGGGAAAGTAAACCGAAAGCAGTAGGGCAGTCACACAAGCTCAGTTTTACCAAAATTACTTGTCATTTAGTGTCAGGTGTCAAAATAATTTTGATTGTTTTTATTACCTACAAAAATCTTTCTTAGCATGATTTGGAGGCTCAAGGTAGCATCATCAGCATCAGGTCCAGTTACCTCCAGGGACAAAGGCTGTGGGGATTTTATGGGAGGGGTTTATATCCAGTGGAAGCCTTTGATAAAGGAATTGAGAATGAAAGAAAACACAGTGTATAAACTTGCAAAATACCTTTGAAAAGGTTAATGTTGTATTTTTGTGAGATAGGGGAATTCTTTGATCTTGATACTTAAAAAAAAGAAACAATGCGAGAATATAAGGGCATTTCCTTAGATCGTACAAATAATGCTGCCTGCAAGTAATCAGCACTGGGACCCCTCTTACTTAGCATATTTATAAATCACCTAGAAGAGGAGGAGTACATGTTGAAATTTCCAGATCTGTAAAATAAAACCTCTAAGCTCTTCCAGGCAGCCAAATGCCACACTGGTTAATATAAATGCAGAAAGACAATGCAGGACAACTTGAGTGGGCAGAAGGATGGCAGATGGGCTTCTCTGTGGAGGACTGCAAGACAGGGAGTTTAGGGAGAAATTCAAACCATGAGTCAAGGGTATTGAACTATCAGTGGTAGCAAAATGAAGAGATTTTACAGTCATGTGTACGTCTGGTGCCAGTTGTTATTCTGCCACAGCTAAAACATCAGCCAGAAATCAGGTGCACTTGGAACATTTTAAAAGGGGCATTAACAGCAGAAAATGGTATCCTGCTCAAACACAAAACCATGGTTTACTTCAACTGACTATTGTAAGCTGTTTTGCTGTTTTTTCAACAAACCTTAAGCAGTCATAGTAAGGTGGAAGGAAGTCACCCTAAAATGGTCTGTGGGAAAGAGGAGCTGCTGTATGAAAACAAATTTACCAAGATTAGGATGCATCGGCCTGGGAAGAGGAAGGTTTGCAAAATCTCAGGGCTGTGCTGCATGTAGACATTTGCCTTGGTTAACATTTACCATCACCATCCACAGGTATAGGTAGGGGAGAAGATGGACATAAAAGGAATAGGCCACAGTGCTATTTAAAATCGAACTCAGGTTAGGCAGAAAGTCCACTAGGCTGACAGAGATCAGGAAAACCCAGATAGCACAAGATCTGTGTCTAAGAAATGCCTTCTCCTCAGCCTTAAAACTTGAAAAGAGAAGGGGAAATCACATGGGTAACTACTTTGGAAACCAGTTTCACAATAAGATTTGATATATCCTAGGATACATGGGCAGGGAAGGAAGGAGATAAAGTTCTTAGAGTGATTCGTAACAGATTGTTTTAAGAAGTGTAATACTGGGTATGTCCCTAGAACTTCACACTGTACACCTTTGAGCAAAACTAGCTTTGGAATCCAGCAAACCCAATTCAGATCTTCGGATCACCACATACTGGCTCTTAGGGTTAGGCGACCACTCTGAACCTCAGGTTCCTCATCTGTAAAGCAGCCCTTCCAGATGGAGATCCCAGAAAGATTGAAAGGGATGGGGGTTGAGGGTCTCAGCAGCTCTTAGCTCCCCTTGATATCTGCTCCTTAGCCTTCTGCAGCACCTCAGAATACCTCAGAATAGGTCTGACGCTGGGCAGCCAGTCAGGAGAACCCACTCTGCTTTCTCTGCCTCCCACAGACTTCCAGGCTGCTCCTCTTTGTCCCCCTGACTTCACACCCCGTCTCTTGTGGGCAGAGCTAATTTGCACTTATGTTTTAGAACATATAAAATTTTTTCTCAAATAAAATAGTTAACCCAAATACATGTTGTTTCAGGTTTTAAAAATCAGTTTGATTGGCCACAGGAAACGCATTTTGGCATCTCTGGGAGACAGGCTGCACGACGACCCACCCCAGAAGCCCCCTCGCTCCATCACCCTCAGGGTAAGTGCCTTGTTCGGTCACTCGCTCGCGTCCTGTGCTTCTCTGTCCTTACCCTCAAAAGTCATTTTGTGCAATAAAACGACTGAAGCAGTGGATCAGGAAGACAAGCTGTCTTCCGCATAGCTTTCCTGATCGGTATAAACAGCAATCTTTCTTTTGACATACTTTCCGAAACCAGGTTTGTTTTTCTCAGTTAGTTTAATCCATATTTTGGAGATTTAGAAATACATCTGTAATGAGTCAGTCTGACAGACCACCACCTCACTGCCTGGCCCACACTCCCCGTTAACACGGAGAGACGGGAAATGAGATTCCTGTCAGACTCCTCAAACCCACAGAGAGGAAATCGAGCAAGGCCCACAGTTAAGTAAAGATCAATTTAAAATTAACCCCAGGGTCTTCTGTTTTTCCAGAAGTAAAAACTGACCATATTTACCCACTTCAGAAATTAAGAATAGAGAATCTCAAACTTCATGTAATAAGCTATATTAATTTCTTTCAGCTATACTTTAGAATTATGGGTTAGGAAAACCGGAGAGAAACTTGGGAAGGGAAAGGGAAAGGGAAAGGAAGGTGAGGAGGGAGAGGCAAAGAGAAAGAGAAAATGAGAGAGGCGCTTCCCAGGCAAAATAGCAATGGCAGGAAGTCGAAGCCAGTCCCTGGTTGTCACGACCCCTACAAGAGCTTTTCTAAAATTCATCAAAAGGCTGGCATCGCCCTGGCAAGTGGTTGAGTCCTGCTCTGGCTGGCTTCAGACTCCCTTCCAGTGAGCTCCAGGAAAGGCAGCACTAGCGTCTGATGAGCCCAGCCCAACCTTAGACACAACACCACCCGGGCCAAGGCCTCCTTCAGGGAAGTCAGCAGACCCCAGTCCCAGCAAGACGGCCCAGTTGGCAGAGCAAGAGCTGTGATGACACTGTGTCTGATTCGGCTTCAAGGAAAAGGAAACACAAAACCTTCCTGAGGTGAAAGCAAATTGGCTTCAGGAGGGAGCCCAGAGGGACATTGAGTACTGGGCAAACTGGGATATACTGGGCTACTTGAGGGCTTTGGGAGTGTGGACACAGAAATAGGGCTCACTTTCCCTCTCCAGAAAAGAAGCCTCCTGTAAACTGGGGGGAAATGAGGCTACAAAGCTACTGTCTGGCCTTCCTTTTGCTACACGGAAGAAGCTATTGACATTGTGAGTGTAATGGTGCTGAAATGACTCCAGAGTAATTTCCAGCTACTTGATCTCCCCGATTACCTTTCCCTCTGAGCCTCTCCTCTGACTCCCCTGAAGAGACCAAGGGGAAGGAAAACTGATCAAAGACAGAGGTGCCCGAGCAAATATGTAGGACCTAAGTCTGTCAGTAAGGTCCAGGACAGTCTGGGGAGAATCGGCCTAGAGCATCAGCAAGGTCTCGGTCCTCTTCTTATGTGCAGACACTGGAGCTCAGCTAGCAGCAGCCCTTATCTTATTTCTGGCTCGTCTCCAACTCGAGTTGTCGTTGCCATTGAAGAGCATCCTCTGTCATTATATGCATTGCTCTACAGTCTGTATGTCCTGTGGCATGCTGTGTTGCCATACTGTGTCCTCTTCCTGGCCCTATTGTCAGACCACTCTTTGGTGGAGGATCAAGACCCCTTGGGTCCCATGTTGGCTTCTCATCCTGGCATCTGCCACGGTGAGGGCACACTGTTCCTAGCCCCTTCCCATGTAAACACACGTGCTAGTGTCCAGGATGTGCAACAGAGGCGTGCCTCGCTCCTGAGATCTGGTTTAAGAAAACAGAGCCTGATTCTTGAGCCTTAAACTTTGTGACCTGAAATGCTTGGTGGGGAAAAGTATTGACTTGATTGAACCATTCCTAAAGTAAATGGTAGCATGTTATCCATTCCTGGGCATTTGATTCCAAAACAACTCCCCAGCTCCACAGTTTGTCTTGTTAGTATTTCGCAATTTTGAAACCAAAGATTAGCCGCAAGAACATGGTATTTATTTCATGATGTATTTCCATTCAGGAACCCAGTGGTAATCACACTCCTCCTCAGTTGTCTCCATCACTTAGTCAAAGCACTTACACCACTGGTGGCTCCCTAGACGTTCCTCACATTATCATGCAGGGCGATGCAAGGAGGAGAAGAAATGAAAACTACTTTGATGATATTCCCCGATCAAAACTGGAGAGGCAGATGGCCCAGGTAAGGTGTTCAAAGCCTCTGTGATATGTTTACCTTTCACCTTTATCAGGTCATGCATTTGTATACTAAAGGGTAGCTTACAGCCGATGCTTATTGTCCACACCTAACTTGAATTTTACCATTTTACTCTGAAGTGTCTTTCCTTGCCTGCTCTCTCATTGAACCAGCCTGGATGAGACCTTTTTTGGAGAGGAATGTATATACCTACCATTTTTATCCATCCTGACAGAGGAAGCCGTGTCCGATTCATTGCCCCTCAAAATCTTAGCACTAAAGGAGCTAATGCTGTGTCTGAATCAAGTCATAATGAACACGAAACCTAGTTTTTATAATGTAAATAGGTTGGATAACAGGGTAGAAGTTGGGGACAAAGGATAAACTCTATATAATGTTGTTAAATTCCTCCCAAGCTTACATATTTACCTGGAGTTCTACTCCTGGGATTCCCATGTTGTCACCTTGAATAGTCGAAAATGATCAGGTTGCCTGACACAGACTGAGAAAAGAGATCGCCAAGTGAGGCCCTTCCGACTTGGTGTTAATGTCCATTCTCGCCTGTCCTAAGGCTTGGAAAATTGGTCAACCATAGGCAGACAGAGGTCCTGTTCTTGCGGTACCTTCAAACGGGCATCTAGCTCTGCAGCTTGGTCCTGGGAGTCAGGGATGGATGCATTGACAACTCTCAGCAGAATCAACTCTTTCCATCCTCCCTCCAGGTTCAAATTGATCTCCTGAGTCATCCCTCTCCCTCCCACACCTAAAATGAGAATCTCGAGGTGAAAATTCGACTGTAATGGCTTAGCCTTCGTTGTTAAATATTTTTCTCAACTGTTTGGTGAGATTTTTTTTTTAAAACCCTTCAGTAAACATTCTGTGCTGCAGCTCACAAAAGAAAAATTGAAGCACATTCTGGAAAGTATGGCTCGTCTGCCTGCAGGTACCTTGGACAGAAAGGACCTGGGATATCACCCCTTCTTTGCACTTTCAGTACTGAATTGTTCTCAAGAAGTGGCGGTGTTGAGATTATGGATACTCTTTTATTGAAGGGAGACAGACAGTGTGGGAGAGACAAAAGAAGAGTAATTTCCCCCGTCTCTGTTGTTAGGTATTGTAATTTTATTTGTTTTCACTGAAGTTCGGTTAAACGAGGAGTATAAAAGCTTTCCCCCACCTGAGCTATTCCTTCATTTCCTTATATTTGTTAAAATTTGTGGATCGCGAATGTGGTTTGTTTCTCTAATGACAGCGTTTCAGAGACATGGTTTGTTTTAGCCTTCAACCGTTGGTCATTATGTATTCATTCAAACAGGGTCTTTTCTGAATCCTCTCTTCTCTGGGGAGGGCAAAATAGTTCTTTAATGAGCATTCACATTCATTGACTGTCAGCTCCAGGGATAGAATTATCTGTCTCAGTTGTTCCTATAATTTATGAAATTTTTCCACAAAGGGCAGATTTTCTTTTCCAAAATGGAATTAATTATTCTTCTGCCTGTGTTCGAACACTCAAAGTAATCTAACAAGATCCCTCCTGACCGTCCTCTGAGATTCCCAGGCAGGGACAGGAATACTTTTTGAATCCTTTTCCTGACACTCCAGTCAGAAGTGCATCCCTTTTATGAATTATCTTGCCTTGAGAAAATTAAATGAACTTTTATCTAGCCAGGTGAGAAAGCCCAAAAGCAGAGAGGAGAGAGATAAGCAGGTTGCTGGGCTGTGCTGAACTGCAGAACTGTTGTGTGAGTGTGCGTAGTTACCTTTTGATTCCACTAACAACGATGGAGTGACTGATAGAGACATAGTCTCCGTCTGCAAGCAGGAGCTTTTTAGCACCTTTCCAAAATGCTGCCACTCAATACAACATTTTAGCTGCAGAGAAAATAGGAGGTGGAACGACAGGAATCTGATCAATAAGCAAAAGGGATTCTGGGATTGCAGCTCTTTCAGTTGTATTAATTGCAGCTTTAATTTGTTTTGAGAATGTTTCCTCACTTGGCAAGGCCAAAAATCTTGGAGAAATTAATGCCTACCTCTTTAAAACAGTGCCATTTCAAAGATTTAACCTGTCAAAATATGAAATACTGGGCCATTTTGTTGTTGAACAGTTCAATTATGTGACTTTTCCACTACTTAGCTTCCCAATTGATTTTTTTATTGTTCTTTTTCATTGTTTGTTATGATAATTTTTGAAATCCTTTTGCTTTTTTAACAATACAGACTACTTTATACCATATTCTTCCCTGAAGTTATGCATTAAGCTAATAAATTTGGGTCTTCCTAAAGACTTGAATTAGCAATTAAAATTCCTGTAAGGAGGCAGCTCATTATATACCTCCTTCCAACCAGGAGATCGATTCCTGTGGCTCTTTCCCAAGCGCTTCTCCCAGAGGTTTGCTCAACTTGGTTAACGCTTGCCTAAACGGGGCTGTTTCCACTAAAACACAGAAATAAATTCACCTTCAGGCTTTCTTTCTTACCTGGTGAAGGAAAGGAGAAAGCAGTTGAGAGAAAATCATCAGAACAGATTCATGTTCTTAGAACCCCTCCACTTCTTCCTGTTCGGCTGAGCTCCACTGGGGTAATTTGGAATTCTAGCCCTAGCCCACAGACCTCAAATTCTGGTGGCTGCAGTAATCCATAGGAGTTTTGTCTTTCATAAGGTCTGCTCAACAGATAGATGTCTGTGAAGGTGTTTTGCTTACATGAAAAAGCCAGTGATTCAAGTTAAATTGAGATCAATTTAATGTCGGTTCCACCTACTAAATTTGCTTGTTATCAAATATTCAAAATGTAACACTGAAGTGGTGCTTAATTATTTGCTTTCAATTTGAACCACTATTAAAAACGGGGGGCCTTAGAATACAGGAGATTGCAAATATTGCAGCTATTGTTTGCTTTTATTCTGACATAAGCAATATTCTGGCATCTAATTGTCTCAAATGAATATGTGAGAAACAAAACTGAGTTCAGCACTAATAGCATTTTTAAACCACTGACTGTAATGATGTAAACACATCTAAACAATGAATTTCCTACCATGCTGAAAACATTGCTTCTCTGGCCTATAATTCTAAATTGGACTCATTAGTCCAAAAGTTCTGAAATGCTTCCCCATTTCCCTACCCTAATAAATAAATGTTGCATTTATATTTATATAATTATAGCTTAATATGCATAGTGCTTTTAAATTTCCAAAGTATCTCGACATCCATTTATCTCATTTCAGCACAAGGTGTCCTCACTGTTGATATGCAGATAGCACCTGGCAGGTCAGTGCTTAGTTCTGAGTTCTGTGAAAATGAGAGAGCAAATGTAAACATGCAAAATATACCAGAAGGTGGAAATATTTCCATGATTTGGAGCCTAATTGCAATCCTTAAAAGTTTTCTTACGTATTATTTAGGAGAAGTCAAAGTACTCTGAAAAGGAATAAAGGAGAGTAATGGAATTTAAAAGGTTCAAGGGCTACATTCTACAGATTTATGAAAAAAGGAAAAAGTATTCTCAAATGCTGAACTTATTACCATTTACAGGAAGCTTTTGTTTATAGAAATACATATGGAAAAATGAAATAGAATATATATTTTTGTGAAATAAAAGACTCCTCAACAGTTAGAGAAATATATATCGTTGCATTAACTACAGCTTGAAAATTCATGAGGAATATCCATAATGTAAATGTTCTCTCATTGAAATGAAAACAAGCAAACAAACAGAAAAGAAACACAATATTGCCTGGAGCAATAATATGTTAGGCACACTAGAAGCTTTTAAATTGTTTCTAAATCATTAGAAAGCTAATTCAGTTGAAAGTCTAATATTCCTTGACCTAACAGTATTACTTAGTAAGTATGACTAGATCAATTACTTCCTTATTTGAAAGCACTTTACATATATTATTTCTACAAATGCTTATTCTTTTGATATTATTCAAGAGAGGTAGAAACTGAGCCATAGGGGGGGAAGCCCTGGTGGCCTGGTCCCTGCCTGGGATTCCACATGTGGTATCTATCGTATTTAATCCTCAGTGTAACTGCTGCTGTCACATGAGGAAGCCAAGGGTGAGTGCTTTGCCTCATAGTTGCTAGAACTCAAGCCCCTAGTTTTTCTATATATCCTTGTTCTTCTGTAGCCCTGATGCCCCGAGGGCTGCCTCTGTATTCAAATGATATAAAATACAACAATTCAACAAAAACTCATTTCCTATGTGCTGTCGTAGGTTGTAACCATGAAACCCTTTGCATGTAAAACCACAGCGGCTATTTGTTAATACTTCTAGCAGAGACCCTGCCCATCTTGGCACTACTCTATCCTCCCGTTTGGTGAGAAGCTTTGTGTGTAGGTGTAGGCTTTGCTGTGTACACAGAGAAGTTCTTGCCTATGGTGTCTCTCCAGATAATGGAAGCTGTTTCTTTAATGGCTTCTGTGGGCGACTTCTGGGCTAGTTTCTTACTGATGATGTGGCCTAAGCCAAGTTCTATAATGCCTCTGAACGTTGGTTTCCTTAACTTTAAAATATAGACAGCACCTGCTTCACGAGTTTGTGTGTATCACATAATGTATGTGAAAGCACATTCTAAACTGTAAAACACAGGATCGATGGATGGATGGATGGATGGATGGATGGATGGATGGATGGATGGAAAGATAACTATAAACTCAGATGCATCACCTGTCAGTCCCTAAATAAAATGTCCTTGATTCATTGTAAGGCAAGTTCATGTCAAAGGCAAGTGCTCAGGAGATGGTACCATTCTGTAAAGACCACCTTTATGTTCCAGCATTAGAATGTATAGTGAGAATGGAATTGGAATATTCCTCTTTATTATTTTAATTGCATAGACACAAAATCTGCAAAGGAGCATGTATCATGATGATGTAGAAGGATCTCCATAGAATGATCTAAAAGCCAGAATATCAGTTCCAGGAATAAAAGTATAAACAAGGGCTGGGGATTTAGCTCAGTGGTTCCACCGCCTGCCTCAAAAACACAGGGTCCTGAG